ACCCAATATTTGACGATATAAATGGGTTGACCTCGTTATCACAACTTGGTCTTATTGTCAGGACGACTTAGCAAAACGCCCCTAGTCCGAAGTCGTCTGCCTCAATAGTTGTCATAATTGTCAGCATCGGACAGTGGACTTTGTACATTCTAAAACTGACATAAGTGGCTCTCTGGCGTAGTTGTTAAGCTGCTGCTTGGTCACCAGCCCTGCTCTGGGTACTCATGGTATCCGGACAAAGTGGAAACTGCAGTCAATTAGGCACGACAGAGAATTTTGGAAGGCCTGGATAAAGGCAACTGAATTGCATCATGAGGCTCAATTTATGGGAAATCCTTGAATCAGCCTTTGCTTCATCTAAAACGACTTCTGTATACTTTTCATTGCGAACCCGATATGTCTATATTTTTACAAACTCTATCATAAAATTTCTTTTTTAGCCGTCAATGGTCATGCATTTCAAGGTCATTTGATTGAGCAAACCACGAAGCCGAAACATCTATCGACCGGACCCAAAGAGCTCTTCAATAATGTAAGTGGTACTGGATAGTGCCAGGAGACTCCAAGAGTTTTGTTGCAATTGATATTCTGTACTGGTTAATTAATGACTGTTTTGAATTGTAATTGAGTTAGATTATTTGAAACTCTTGAGAGGACATAACGTAGCCGACGGAAAGGTAATAAAGAATAATTTTATTGAATTCTTCATTTAATGTCAGCATTTTATCGTTCATAAATAGAATTTTGAGACTACCATTAAATCAGTTAAATGAAATGTATTCACCTTATTTTGGTTAAGGTGTTGAAAGACTGTAGAAATTCAACTCCCAGTCCTTCATCACCCTAAACGAACTAAGTTGAATACATTTCATATAGTGTGAAAAATGGTCAGAAATTAAAGAATGATTTCATGTCAGTCCTACATTTTGTTGTAGATATGAAGGTTGTTGATCCTCAGCGCATTGACCTTCGTTTGTGTCGCTGCGAGAGAGGCCTTTGCATCGAACTTATGTAGACTCAAGGTCAGAATATGTGGAACCAGAACCACCGATTGTTTCCACCTCAGGTCGCTGTGACAGCAAACATATACATGCTTGTTGGATAGCTCTCGCTATCAGCTGCTATTTGAGGAAGATCGTCTTACTTACCAAAACCAGATTGTCTGGTATTCCTAAATGGACAAATTTGTGTGTTGTCTTGTTGGAGTGGGGACTGTGTGACTTGTAATCGAGTCCCATTTGGACGCTTTTGGTATTTGGGCAAACACTTGGCTCCTAGGAAGAATGCAAGTGACGCATTTGTGCATGTGTATATGTACGAAAGTAAAGTTGATTGTGGCTACCGATTTCGATTTTGAATAGTCTCTTGCATAAGAATTCGTAGGAAAAAAAGTAGGGAATGATGATTTCTGTACCAAGTCAATAGTCAAGTCAATGTACCCAGTCAATGGTCTGATGCTGGACACGAATAATACTATGGCAGAGGACACAGGACTAGGTACGTTCCGACTAAGTTGCGAAAACGAGGTGGAACCAGTACAATGATGATTTCTGTCTGGGAATAGTTGGGAAATTAACCCTACCGAAAGCAAAAAAGTGGATTTTCTTTAAACACTTTAGGACGCTTTACAATCTTGAAGACTCAATAATAAACTTTCGTCAAGGTGAGAGAGCGAATGCGAGTCCAAAGATGATCACTTTCAGTAATTTTTGTAAATGTGTTCACCCTATTGTGTCTAAGGTGTGAAATGACTGGTAGTTGAATTTTTCAACAAAACTTATTCATATATCTGCTGAAGTGAACTACAATTTTGTCTATATGTAGTTTTTTGAGACCACCAGTAGATCATTTATGTATGAATTTTATTCTTTTATCTCGTTTAAGATGATAAGGGGAGGGGTAATTGTATTTTTCACGCAATCATATGAGTAGACCTTACATTTTCATTCAATTTCAAAAGGTGTTCTTATTCAGGGCTGACTTCAGGTTCGACCTCACCTAGTTTTCATCAGCACCCCCAGCGGGACTCGAACCCGCAGCGTATAGAGTGTCACGAATGCTCTTGGGTCATAGGGCAGGTGTGATTTTTATGCAAATCCTGAACTTATTTTTCGTTGATAGTAGATAATATATTTAAGAGGCATTCGCCATTTTTCGTGATAAAGTATTTATATCATTGCGAGAAAATGCAACTATTAGTAATTCATCACTTCAAACTATGTAAGTACAATGATCTACTGATAGTCTTAAAAATCTACCTAAAAACGAAAACTAATTTATTTATTCGATTGTTATAGCAAATACAACTTTGCTTCATCGACATTTCCAACACAGAAGATGATATAGGAAACGGCCTCGCCTTGGTTGAAATTCACATCTGTCCTCTGACCCAAGGACACTGCTGGCAATCTAGCGTTATCATTAATGTGCCGAGACTATTCACTGCATTGTCCGGGTTAGAATCCCACTGGGGATGCTGATGAGACCAGTTAAGGTGAGGTCAAATCCACAGCTCAGTCCAGTCCAGTCTGGATGAGAATACCTTTTGGAAAGCAAAGCCATGTGAACTTCAATGGAAACATGGGGCCAACTTATATGATTGTGGGAAAATTGAACCGCCAGTTTTTCATTAGTTTACACAAAATGTTTTAATAAAACTGTTAGTCTCAATTGGAAATAGAGCTTTGTTAACTTTATTTTCGTAGTTGTGTACTTACGTGCTGTACATAGTCTCTGAGAATAATACTTTTTCCGAAAAATAGTCTGATTTGGTTCGTCTGTGCATATGTCAACCTGGTAAAATGTGTGATCATGTGTTTTGAAGGCATGAATCCAACAGTGATAAGTCAGAGTGGTGCGAAAAGAGTGTACTATCCGTCCTCACATGTCTTTGTTCCAAGTAAATAATGCCTAAAATTCTGGTGTATAGATGCGATGGTAAATGAAACTATGACTAACAAATGACTAGTTTAATTGCGGCTCAACACACTCACATGCCCTGAGTCTATCAATTAGGCATTCATAGTTTTGACTTAACTACCTACTGCCACTTATATTATTTCATATATTGCCTAATATGTTTATTTTTGACGCCTTTCCTAATTTTGAGTTTGGCTGCAGACACACCACAGCTTGAGTTTTCGTGTCTTCGTGTTAATTTGAGGCTTTTGCAAGAGTGAATTCCAGCTCTGATGATGTTCGTCATTTGACGAACGAAAGGTCAGTTGGAGCGGAAATGTCTGCTGAAGAGATTCGAAGGTGAATCCCACCAGAAGACAACCACCAGCAGATTTTTCTTGACGCTGTTTCCGAGGTGAACATCATCAGAGCAGGGTATCACCCTTACAGACCTATTCAAGCGAATGAATCAAAAAAACTCAGCAGTTTATCCCAGAAGATTGAATATATATTTATATCTAAATATTAATTCTTGTTTGCTTGAATATGGTTGTAAGGATGATACCTTAAATCTAAGCTCTTTTATGAGGCATTAAACGATTTAATTAGTTCAAGTCAAATTTCAACCTTGAAGCATGTGAGTGTGTTTGTCTGTGCACCATTATGTACCTTCATGCGTTTGTATATGCACAAACCCCTACGCTCTTAATATATATATATATATATATAAGCATAATTATTTATTTATTTATTCATTTAAATATTTTTAACCATTATTCCGATTACACAAATTTGGACGCACATCTGGTTATGTTGGTGAGCTTTTTGTTTTCATCTGAGAGAGAAAGAGTGAAATAAAAGGCTTGACAACATTTTAATCATTGGGTCTATTAATTAAAAATAAGTTTTTTTTACTTAACTCCTTGCCGGTATTTTTGACATTTAACATGTAGCCTAATCGGTTGATTTTGTGCTTAGCAGCAGGCATGTTATGTTCAGCAAAATGACATGTTTGAAGGAATTCAATTTCATGTCCAGTTTCTGCCGTCGGCTCATCCTGCTCCTATTTTGGAACTCTACACCTTCTATCGGCGCTTTGACGCTCAGCCACGCTTTGTTGAATGGGACGGCGAGTCTATCCAACATAAAAGCGACCACGAACAGATTATCTTATAGCAATCTAATCTGGAGAATGAGTCAATTTTCTCTCTAAAAATGTCTTAGCTTCCCTGAAAACACTTCTTATTCCCCACTTTCTTACTAGTTCGTCTATCTTTTTTACAGAGAACGCATAAATGCTCTTCTTACATATTCACCACACAAAGAGGTATACTTTAATAATATAATTTTATTTTTAATTAGCCTATTTTAGTCGTCGTCTTCTGGTGAGTTAGACATACAAATCTCTTCATCAGTCACACTTTTATACGAAATGCAAGTCTCAGTAGATTACGCGAAAACCACGTTTCCTTTTTATATTAAATTAGGCATCTGGGCATCATGAGCTCGAATCCCACTTCGACTGGACGAGGCCGAAACTGTTGTCCAGTCTTTAGGACTTTTGAGGCTTAGCGCCTGCTCTTCAATTCTTTAAAGGTTTAATGGCTTCACACAAAAATGTCATTCTCACTCATTTATACGGTCCTGATCTTGCTGACAGGAAGGTTGCGAAACGAAAGAGTAAGCTCACGGCACCACGGCTATATTCGTACATAAAATAGGTTTCGAAACCATCACTAAATTTTGAATAAGAGTCTCAGTCATCCCGGATTGGATAAGCTGCTAAAAGACCGATAGTTTTATTTTCCCACACTCAACTGGGAATTGAATTTCACATGTTCTTGCTCTTTTAAGGGTATTTTAGACCTCGCCTCGGCCCGATCACCTCATCCATCGGGATTTGGATCCAGAAAATAACACTTTCCTTTTCATACTCTGTTCGAATTGTTGAAATTTAAGAAGGTCCCCATTTTTTCACCAAACAACATGGCTCATGGCATGACGATTTTGGAGCCATTTCATCATGTCTCACTTGGAAGGAAATTGTCTGCAAGTTTAGATCCACTCGCCCGCATGAGCAAGTCTGAAAGTAATGTCATTTATGCTTTTCACTTGTGCATACAAATTGCTTTCCAGATGAGACAACGCTACAAAGAGACGCATGATGCGTCAATCGGCGCATGTTGTGACCAGCTTCATCTGGAGCACGACAGATTGCGTGTCGACTTGCGCAAACGCATCGCTCAAACGGTCAGCAGACTGTCCTCACTGTCCGAGCCCCTGGACACGAAAGAGTACAGACTGCCGCGAAATCCTCCAACCGACAAACTGTTCTCCACCATTCAGGAGTCTTTGAATGCGATGCCTTCACAAGTCTCCAATGTCTTTGCCGCTTCCGGACTGGTGACGCCGGAGCGGAAGAAGTTGAGTCTGGTTGAGTTGGAGTAACCAACTGAAGAGGTCGACCCACGGATTCGATTTACAACCAAATTTTTACACCTTGACGAGAAAACGAGTTGACTGTAACTAACATTGACCGACTGCCAGAGTCAGTCATGACAGGTTTCTGAGCAGTTTGGAATAAAATGCCAAGTCTTATTGAATTCCCTTTTTGCATCGAACTCGTCCAAATGAACTGTAAACGATTGTAACGTTACTGTAGACCCTGGCAACTGCTGAACTAATCCTCATGTTGGTCATACACAGTCATATTTTACCTTTAATGGTACAATGTACACGGAAGCACGAGGTTCATTTATGAACTCAAGTGGAGGAGTACTACTAGTGACATGATAACTGCGGACTCGATTTTGTTTAAACTGATGAAGGACTGATAGTTAAATTTTCCCAGCAACGATATAATATGCATAGACCTTGCGTTTCCATAGAATTTCACATAGGCCTGATTCCCAAAAGGCCAAAGTGGACTGTTGTTGTCACCTCACTGCGTCTCATCAGCACCACTAGCAGGACTCGAACCATGACCGTTCAGCGTGTAATATCGATACGTTAATCACTACGCCACACTGGCGTGACGACTCATGCATGTGAATTTCAGAGAAGGCCAGGTATTTTCCAACATCACATTCTTTGGTGGGCTTGTCAATAGAGCAAAGCTATTTTTGCTATGGAAATCAATTATATTACTTATTTGTCATTTGTAAGTAGGCATTCTAAATTACCAGTAAATTAGATATACGCTACATACAAGCGACAAATAAATAATGTAGTCAATTGCTATAGCAAATGTAACTTTGCTTCATCGATAATCCCAACACAGACTGTGATATGGGAAAATAGCTGGCTTTCATTGAAATTCACATCTGCCCTACGACCTAAAGGAACTCGTGATGGATAACTTGACGAGACTATATTCTCCACTAACATTGTTTGAACCCCGCTGGGGGGGCTGATAAGACCCCATCCGAGACAAGAATACCTTTGGGCAAAGCAATTATATACGAAATTCGATGGAAACATAAGGTATAATTATATAATTGTGGGAAAATTCAACTATCAGTCCTCCATTACCTTAAACCAAATATTGTTCGCACATCTCATATATCTTGAAACCCTACTTACAAACATACTACTATTCCAGTACTTTTTGGTTTGGTATTTGGACGACGATTTCGCTGTCTGGAAAGATTCCTATGGCCAATAAATAGACTCGATTTCTATATATCTTTGGAAATCCAATCAAAGTATCAGTTACGAAATCGGTGAAAGCATGGAGTCTACGTCCAGTAAACGTAAATTACTGGTACCAGGAAATCGGTAGATTAAGGCATAGGTTAATTCAGGACAATTATCCATCCTCATAAATCATATTTATGGTTAGAGTCCTTTAAGAAAAAAACAGGCACTGGGAATAATATACTTGGTTCCTTATGTTGTAGTCGTGCCACCTTTCGAAAAGTGTAGATAAGGTACTGAAGATGTGAAACATTAGAACCATGTTTCAAGAAAAATAAACACTTTCCTTGGTCACTGGTATTACTTTAGAGAACCTTCTGAATCACTTTCCAAAGCAGGATGTGACAAGCTTTTGTGTAAAAGAGTGAAAAAGAATAGGCCACCTGAACACAAGACCAGCTGTACATGAGACGAAAGAGAATCGACTGAAACACAGTTATTTGCATTATGAACAAAAGCTGGCTTTCAACGAATCCCTTAGGACTTTTCCTTTATAAATAACCTTTTGTTGAAAGCAATTATTGAAACAATTTCACCGGAACTTAAAGGAGGATCGTTTTTGAGTGGAGCCTATTTAGTTTACGGTAATGAAAGAATGGCAGTTTAATTTTCCTACTGGTAGTCTCGAGATTCTAGTTATAAATGAAAAATAAATAAAGCCAATATCCTGAATGGGGGAAATTGGTTTTGTTATATCATGTACCCAGCTGACGTCAGCTGGCTCCCTCCCCACCTTCGACACACAAAGCATACCTGCAATGGGCCAGAAGCAATCACACTCACTATTTATGCCTAATTTTGCGATCTTAATGAGACATTCCATTTCACCTGACTTGAACGTTGTATGTACACAATACAAATATGCGTAAAAATTGCAGGTTCATACTTTGGTTTATTTATGCACGATAAAAACTGATACCAAACAAACTTCTTTTTAATGTATCCACACCCATCATCTGTAGAAATGTATAGTAGGCATGAAATAACCAATCGAATCTTGCAATGCCTCATTAGGCTTCCAAAGTTTGGTATAAGAAGGGAGTGTGATTGGCTGGAACCCTCCATATTATTGTCTAGTGACCCATCCGAACACTGCCTCATTCAAGTCTTGGTTTTGTTACATCATGTACTCACCTGACGGCAGCTGGGTCCTTCATCACCTTCGACACACAAAGCATACATGCAATGGGCCAGAAGCAATCACACTCACCATTTATGCCTAACTTTGCGATCTTAATGAGACATTCCATTATTTTAGTCGATTATG